GAGGTTGTTTTGAACTGCATTTCCAAAGAAGAGTGGGTGGGAAGCAGTTTTTATACTTAAGAATTATTCTGAATATGCCCTGAATTGATCATGAAAATTCAGTGGAAAATGAGCTGATTTAAGCACAGTATGCAGTACATCATGATCACTAGATGCTATGATGTAACTTTTATGTTCATGACAACTTGCATTAGCATAAATGCTTAAGAGTTTTTCTTCAGGCCTGGAACTGTGTATGATTCATCTTTACATCCCCATGGTATACTGTAAACAGTACACACTAGGTATTAACTAAACACATGCTGAATAGATGAGCTCAAAGTGCATTTTTGCATTCATTTTGATTCTCACCACAGTACTCTGAAGTAAAGGCACATGAAGATGCTGAGGTGTAAAATATAAGGGGCTTTACTTTGCCAAAGGTGGTATAGCAGCATCACTAAATATTTAAATGCATGGCTTTAGAAATCAAACAGACCTGGGAACAAATCCTGACTCTAATACTTTATATCTGTTGTGGTTGTTAGCTGCTGTTGAGTCACTCCCTGACTCATGGCGACCCCATGAGTGGCAGAACAAAATGTAGCCCACTCCTGCTCCATTCCCATGATGTTTTGAATTGCACCTTTGTGATCCATAGGATTACCACTGGCTGAGTTTTTAGAAGTAGATCGACAGGCCTTTCTTCCTAGTCTGCCTTAGCTGGAAGCTTGGCTGGGACCTGTTCAGCATCATGGCCATATGAAAGCCTCCAATGATAGAAGGCTGATGGCTGCACATGAGGTGCATTGGCCAGGAATCAAATCTAGGTCTGTATGGAAGGGAAGAATTCTACCACTGAACCACCAATACCCTCCACTTTATGTTTGAGTGAGCTACAGCTTTGCAAATAAGAGTTTCTTCTTTAAAATAAGACTACTACTGCTGGTTGCTCACTAAGATCAACTTTCCCCTTTTCCTTATTAAAAATATCACTGATTTTGTTTGGGATGGCAATGTGTACACTCTTCCCTACATATTGCAATGGAATGTGACACAGTTCTGTCTAATGAAATCTAAATAAAAGTTGCTGACTTGGACAGAATAACTTCTGAAAAGGGGGCAGGCTACTTTGGTTTGAGCCTTCGGTGCTTCCTCCTTTTCCTTACCTTCCTCCCCGCATATTCAGAGGCACACCTGCCATTATGGAAACATAAGGACAAAAGCCACATGCTAAGGAAGCTAGGTAGGAAACTGAGAAGGAGTCTCTGCTGATGGTATCCTGGACCTCCCATGACATTCATAGTTGGTTCTCTGTATAGACTGCTCAATGCAGAGGACACCCACACAATGACTCAAGTAATTCACTTCTTCTTTTACAAATTTACTCCCCCAAGCAAAGATCACTGGAGTGAACATTGATGACTCAAAGCAGATACCTCAACTTACTCTCTAGGAAAACAAAACAAAAAGAAGGCTTTGTTATTTTCTATCCACTGAGATCTTGGGTTTATTTGTTCCTTCAGCAGCATAACCTAGCTCATCCTGACGGATGAACTTCCAGTGAAAGACAACTTAGAAGTAGGAAGTATTCTCCTACTAATATGTGACTATACAAATATATCCCATATATAAGCTCATAAAAATTAAAAGTAAACACAAATTTAAAAATAATTTCCATATATGACAAAGTGTCTTTAATTTACATTATTATTTATGTTTAATAATAATAACTACCATTTATTGAATTTTTATTACATGCTAAGCGAGGGGTCACTATGAGTCAGGTTCAACTCCACGGCACATAACAATAACAACAACAAGTACCAGGTAAACATTTTTATAAAGAACTCCCAAAAATCTTCCAGCAAATTATTAAACTCTCAATATGAATATAGATATGAATCATAAACAAAAAGAGAAAATAATCTCTGTTTTTGGTGGTTAATGCACATGACAAAAATGTAATAGTATTAACATTGAAAAGTAAAAACAAATAATCACATGAAACTCTTATGGGAAAATATTTATGTACAAGGAAGCTAATCAGAAGTATTATTTTTTTTTAATGAAACAATGCAAATGAACTGATTAGGCAATAAGAAAATCCAATAATCAACTAATCAAATTTTTTGCCATAATGAATTTATAATGAACTAGTGAAAGGATCATAATATATGATTGATTGAGAAAAAAAGCAAGGTAAATAAATCTGTACATAATATGATCCTGATTATGCGTGCCTGTGTGTGTATGTTATTGTTGCTGTTGTTGTTAGGTGCTGTCAAGTCAATCCTGACACATAGTGACCTTATGTACAACAGAACATATACTGCCCAGACCTGTACCATCCTCACAACGGTAGCCATGCTTGAGTTCATCATTGCAACCACTGTGTCAATCTATCTCCTTGAGGTTCCTCCCCCTTTTCACTGACCCTCTACTTTACTAAACATGGTATCTTTCTCCAGGGACTGGTCCCTTCTGACAACACGACCAAAGTATTTGAGATGAAGTCTGGCCATTCTCACTTCTAAAGAACATTCTGGCTGTACTTCCTCCAGGACAATGTGTATGTATATATACATATAAGTATAAATAAATATATGTACACATGTATATACCCCCCCCAAAAAAAAAAAAAAAAACTGAACTCGCTGCCATCAAGTCTGATCCAACTCATAGTGACACCTTCTTAGGTTTCCGAGGCTGTATCACTATGGAAGCAGATTGCCCAATCTTCCTTCCAAGGAGTGGCTGGTACATTTGAACTGCCAGCCTTCTGGTTAGCAGTCAAATGCCTTAGGCACAATGCCACCAGAGCTCCTACACATGTATATATATGTGTCTAATTTTTCCTTAAGTAGCACATTATTTTTATTACCAAATCTGCAGTAGATATTTTGATATCTGCAAAAATTGTTCTCCTCCATTATTTTTTTTTTCAAAACTGTCTTTTCTAATGTTGTACAATGTTTATTTAACATGAATCATCATGCCCCATGTTAAATCGTATTGACATTTAGGCTAGTATTGCTTTGAATTTATAGATAAATGTAAAGAAAGCAATGTAAGGAAAGTAGAACTGAGGCTTCCTATATATATACATATTTTTCAAAAAATTGCTTTTTTAACTTTTTTTTAACCTTCCCCCTTTTAAGAAGTTATTCTGTCCAAGTCAGCAATTCCATGGAAGGAAGACTAGGCAATCTACTCCATAAAGATTTACTGCCTCAGAAACCCAAAGGGGGCACTATGAGTTGGAATCAACTTGATGGCAATGAGTTTTTTTTTTTTTTCCATTTGTTTGTTTGTTTATATTTAAGAAATCAGCCTTACATCAAGAAAGAACTGAAAAATGATACGAGGTTTTGGGAAAATCTAACAAGCGTTTAATGACAGCAATTTCTAACTGCTGAGCTTCAAGTAGAGTATTTAATTTATTCCTAATCATCACAGCACTTCTACAAAGTAGAATATCTTTCAGCATTTTGGAAATTAGGAAATTCTGACTTTAGAGATTTAAGCAATTTGTCATAGGTCACAAAATTGAATCAGGAGTTAAGGAGGGATTTATACCCAACTGTATCTAGCTTCAAAGCCCACATTCTTCCCACTGTATTCCATTTTTAATTCAGTGAGATATGAGACCAAGTCTTTCAACATGACCTAGCACAGGAGATAACAAATGTGTACTGAGGTTATGGGCTAATTAATAGCTATACCCAAAAAATGTCTATCTTGATGTCAATTCTGAAGGAGATTTCACAGAATAAATCATGGAGAACTGTTTTTACCATTAATAGGTATAGATATGTGTGTGTGTGTGTGTGTGTGTGTATTTAAATAACTATTTAAAAAGAAGACAAAGACATAGATAACCAAGTTGAACAGGATAACTAACAGAATAGATTATAGAACAGAGATTCAAAACAGCCTCCTTGACCCAAGACCAGAAGAACTAGATGGTGCCCAGCTACCACTACCAACTGCTCTTAAAGTGATCCCAATAGAAGGTCCTGGATAGAGTGGGAGAAAAATGTGGAACAAAACTCAAAATTATAAAAAAAGACCAGGTTTACTTGTCTGATGGAGATTGGTGGAACCACTGAGACTGTGGTCCTTAGTCACCCTTCAAGCCTAGAACAGAGATTCAAAACACATCCACATTGAGCCCAAACAACCAAGACAAATTTCAAATGGTTAGAAGTAAAGATTGACACATAGGTTAAAAAAAAAAAAAAAACCAAATGCATATAAATAAAATGAATATAACCATTGTTGTTGTTGTTTTGTACCATGAAGTCAATTCCAACTCATAGCAACCCTATAGGACAGAGAAGAACTGACCCATAGAGTTTACAAGGCTGTAATCTTTACAGAAACAGACTGCCACATCTTTCTCCTGAAGAAAAAGTGGTGGGTTCAAAGTGCTGACCTTTTGGTTAGAAGCCAAGCACTTAACCACTGTACCACTAGAGCTCCTTGAAAATAACCATTGTTTCTGAAAAAGACTAGTGGTTTAAACTAAAATAAACCTCAGCTAGCACTGTTGCCAAATATACTCAATGCAGTTTCAGTATATATGTACCTCATTGTTAGCAATCATAGCAAGAGGATAACAGTCCCACTCTCTATATCTGGAAACATATTTAGGTTTAGGTTAATTGCTCATAACCTAGTGAGGATGCAAGCCACTTCCAGTTATCTATTTCTTCCAGTCCAGGCTGGAAAAAATCTCAGAAGCAATAGAGAGGGCCAGGGCTTTCCTACTTCCGTAGTGATACAGGCTCAGAAACCCAAGGAGGAGTCGCTTTGAGTCGGATCTGACTTGATGGCACACAACAATAACAACAACAACAACAGGATTTTCCAAGACTAGGTTGGGTGACTTTTAGAGAACAGGAAGTCTACAAGACAGAACTCCAGTGGGTTCCATCTCTTTTGAAGAGGAATATCCTTTACTAAAAAAGGCATCATCACATTTTGTATGTAATCTAAGCATTCCTATCTGTACTTACTGCTACTCCTGTCTTATAGAGGAGGTAGTGTACAGTCTGTGTAACGTCAGCGGCATGCATCAGATTGTGGTAAGGATTTTTATGCTTGCTGTATCCTACTTCCAGGGCCTCCACAAATGAGACAAGTGCAGAAATAGGGATCTGAAAAAAAGCAGCAAAGTTAATTAACTAGTGCTTTAATTACTGTAAGTAAGAAGGCAAAAGTGAAGGCACCCTCACTGGCCCCTTCTGGAAGCATAACATATCAAACGACGAAAGTACAACATTCACAGTTAACAAAATTCACTGAATAAATCATCAAATAATTTGGAAATCTAATAGGAAGCCCCTGGTTTAGGAATAGTCTTCCCTGAAAATTGTCCTTTGTTTCCCAGTCAGAGCCCCAGGGGAATGACACAGGTTCATGTCAGCAGACATTTACTTTTATTCACATGTAAAGCAATGGCTTTTGATGCACATGTCAAAAATGAAGTTATTGGTAATTGTGTTAATTTTCTGCTATTCCCTTGTCCTCATCTAATCCTGAAATACCCCTTCTACCTAGTCCCAAGGAGATGAGATACTACAGGGGACAACAAGCAATGTTTGCTTGAACATCATTTGAAAAACATTGCAATAATACTAATAATTAGTAACTGTGGTATTATTTATTTTTTGTAACATATTATCAGTGGAATAAGACCTTCCAAATTGCAAGTGATCAATAATAAATTACCAAGTAATAAGCATATGAAAACAGCCTATTCCTGATCCCATATATTAATCTCTTACTGTCATGAGTTTATTTTCATGTGTCTGACACATATAATCATTCCTTTTAGAAGACATAGTTTTCAGGAGGTCAGTATTTCCTTCAGTACTGGTTGCAGCTTGTGTTTGATTTGTAATAATATTATAACTTAAGATGTCTTGGTACTTTTTGCTTGTCTACAAATAAATGAGAAAAGCAGTACGGTATGCATTCACTTATATATCAAGAAGTAAAAGACTTGCTTTTTTTGGGGGGGGACTATCAGTAACTCAGGAAAGTACTTCTTGCCAGCATAATTACTTTTCAGCCTCAAATATATATACATATATATACATACATGTAGATCTATCTATCTGTCAGTTTGTCTATCTATCTATCTACATGCCTTACTTCCTTTTGTATGTAGCAGAAAGTGAAAAACAGTTGCAAAATGCCTGTAAAAAATAAGAGGGCCCTGAAAATAATCATTTTATTAGTTTTCTGGATCAATTCCATGGTTTAAGGTAAATTATCAAGTACAAGGCTTGAGGAAGAGGAGAGGGTGTGTGTCCCCAGGAGACATCAATCACATTCGTAAGAATAAGGAAAATGCTATGACAATGTGTCATGAAATTCCATCCCAAGTTTTTCCTTGAGCATATTCTTCCATATTTATCATTTGTGGATTTTGTAAAATTATGGATACTCTCACTTATCATCTGTGACAGATAATTTTAGAGCTCAGAGATTAATGCACTTCCATTTTTAAAAAGGGAGCTCTGGTAGCATAGTGCCTAAGGCACTTGACTGCTAACCAGAAGGCTGGAGGTTCAAACCCACCAGCCACTCCTTGGACGGAAGATGGGGAAATCTACTTCTGTAGTGATACTGCCTTGGAAACCCAAGGAGGGGTCACTATGAGTTGGGTCCGACTTGACGGCACATAACAACAAC